TTCTTGGTCTTATTTCTGTATAAAACTTTGAACACGTCAGTCAAATCTTTTTTGACAACAAATGGTGACCGTGACGTGATTTGATGCAGAAAGAGGACGCAAGATGAGCTCAGATAGAGAAACTGGGTCTGTGGGTCTGGAGACTTTCTGCTCTGCAAAAGAGGTAAGCAGATCATATTTTTGAAAATCTGCACATTGTTTTTAATAGAAGAGAGCGAGATCTCAGCCCAACATGACTGCAGATGTGGACAGACCCGCCATGAGGGGCGTTTTATCGGACGCGATAAAACAATAGCCAGGTTTTTTTACGTTTTAGCCTTGAGGGAAAATTGGGTCCCCTCTAAAAAATAAAATAAAAGGGAGAAAAGAAAGTCCACAAGAGTTTTTAGAAGTGCAGAAGAGGCACAAGTGTTTAGTGAAAATAGAAATAGAATTAGAAAATAGGGACAGTTATAGGGTCAGAAGTTATAGGATAATAAAACCTTCCATATCCCCCGGGGGTGGGAAAAAGGGTACATTTAATTTAAACAAAAAAAGCCAAGTATTTAAACTGTTGGATTCTGACTATTGAATAATAATGATCTGATTAATGAGAAAAAAGAGAGCCACTTGGCTGTAGATGCGAGTTTCATGTGGAGAAATTACAAAAGGATCAGTTCTGGGAGTTCTCTTGTATTCTGATGTAATTCAATAGTTACAGAGGTATTACTTAAAAAAAAAATAAAAAAAGATTGATCCTGCTGTAACTAATGATACATTATTCATGTAGGCAAATTGTAATGTTTCACATTACTGACGTATTTAAGGATAAGTGTAAAGTGTTGTTTGACGTGAGAGAACCCTCACCACTGATTAAAACATTCTCACGATAAAAAACGAGGAAAATGCTTGATGCATACAGCACTCAGCCCCTCCCCTCCCTCTTTCTGTCTGCTCTCTCTCTCTCTCTCTCTCTCTCTCTCTCTCTCTCTCTCTCTCTCTCTCTCCAGTTAAGAAAAGAGGTATACCAAATATATTTTTTGTAGAAAATTACATTTATACACACGATAATGTTACTGTCATGGAGTCATATGATCACAGAACTTTGAGTTAGATTATAAAGAGGCATTATTTTTATTTTTTGGCCATTTCCAAGGCGTCTAGAAGTTATTAAACATTTTTTCCCAACATTTTGGTGATAGAAAATTTAAAATGATCTTCAAGAACATTATACTTTTGGAAAAATAGGGCTTAGGATAGCAGTTGAATGCAGATTCGGTTTTCAGAATTTAATGTTTAAAATGTTAATATTAATTATTTCATAGGTTTATTTAGATTTGTAATTAATCATTGGTTTTGTATTGTATTAACACACTTGTTTGTGTTTCTTGTTTGTCTGTTTTTTCTGAGAAAACTTCTGTCTGTTTCATTGGCCGATCGCCAAAATCGTCCCTGCCACAAACCACAACCGAGCTTCATCAAAACGGACCATCAGCGTCTCCCCCGACCCACAGGGGGCACCAACAACAGCAGCATCGGCTGCAGCAGCTAACAGGAACTGTCGCAGAAGACTTCTCCGGCCTCCATTCCATGGAGAAAAACCACAGACGTTTGCACAAACTCAGTGAAGTTATGTGCACGAAGAGGAACGGTGTGAACCAAGCGAAAGAGACGACACATTTGTGTGCGTCAGATATGAGAAAGAAAGTTATTGGAAGAAAGAAGAAAGTGATTGAAAGAAGAAGAAAAGACATTATGAGAAAGTTACCGGAAGAAAAAAGAAAGTGATTGAAAGAAGAAGACAAAGACATTGGAAGACGACATGAGAAAAAAGAAAGACACATTAACAGACATTTGAGGAGGACGTGGCCAGGCTAAATGAAACAGACAGAAGGTAATATACAGACAAGCAACAACGCACCGAGACATATAGGACATTTAGGTCATATTTACACATTTATGTCATACGTTCATAACACTACATTTAACTGCATGAATGATTACAAGACAATCGTCAAAATTATTAGATTCTTACTTTAGCATGAGACACAAGAAGATTAGAATTGCAGTATATTTGTGCATGATTTGGATGAGTTTTATTATTAAAACTATTATTATTATTTAAAGTTATAGACGCAGAGAAGTTTAGAATTATTGATTTAAACTGCATGATCTTAATACAGACATTTAAGGCAGTGTACTTCAACCTCTGAACCGTGGCTCGTTTCTCATTTAAAAAAATCACATGCACAGTTGAAACTGGTGCTAGAAAGAGAACTGCAGCTTTTAATTGACGTTGCATTTAATACAAAGGTGGTTTGTTCAGACAATCAAAGTTTGAAAAATAATAATAGAGTATTTCTAAATCTTGGTTAAAGGTGATATTGGATCATTTCTGATAACACACTAACGCACCACGGTCCACTGGTTGAAAACACGGATGTAGAGACATTTTATGAAATCTTTTATGACATGTTTCTCTTCCAAATAGATAAATTAGAAACAATTAGGACAATTATGTCTTTGATACAACTGTTGGTAGTTTATCTGAGACATGATTGGTGCAAGTACGTTAGTACACGTACAATAATAGTCTTTTCTCCACATGAACGTGAAACAAAGGTTGAAGTATTAAAGTTTGAAATGAATTTACATTTTTAATGAATCCGAACTGGCTTTACTGAAAAAGGGAAAACATTTACATGTCATTATTCTCTCTCTCCAAACACGGTGGTGATAAACTACTGTAGCCACAGCTGCCCTGGGGCACACTGACAGAAGCGAGGCAACCAGTCTGTGCCTCAGCCCCTCCCACCACCACCAACCATTCACACACACACCAGACTCATTCTAATGTGGGGGAAGTGTCTTGCCTAAGGACACAACCACAGTTTGGCACTTTACAGCCGCCACACACACACACACACACACACACACACACACACACACACACACACACACACACACACACACACACACACACACACACACACACACACACACACACACACACACACACACACACACACACACACACACACACAATCTTCAGTAGAAAATAAATGGTGAATGATCAGCCTGTAATTCCCGGTGTGGCCACCAGAGGGCGGAAGGGACTTGTGTTTGAAAATGACCAGCTGTAAACACAGACATTTTCAGATAATTTTAAGAAATGACTAAAATGAAGTGATGGGAAACACTTTTGTTTTCACAGGCGTGTGGCGAGTGTTTTGTGCCTGACGTTCTTAACAGTAGCATGGATGGATCTAAAACCAACTCCGGGCCTGTCTTTGATGTGGGGACAGTCTTCCTGAAAATGTGAGACAGACTCTTTTGAATGTACTGTTTTTATGTTTTTAAATCTTTTTTCTCTCATAAACACATAATATTTCTCTGATATTATCCAGTATCTGACATGATCACTTCTGCCTCTTTTGGACCAACACCAATGTCTTTCTCTTTGATTTTCTAATCTGTGCTGGAGAATTCTGTAAAGTCTGAGAAAACGACTGCTGTGATTTTTCTCAAAGAACACATAGAACTGAATTAAAACTGAATTAAAACTGAATTAAAACTGAATTAAAACTGAATTCTAAGTCTGTAAGGTTCCAATCTGAGGAACTATTACAATAATCCATTCACAGCCCGACTATAACTGTGTTTCTCTCAGGGACTCGAACATACAACCTTCACACTGAGATCAAAGCCCTCGCGTCCACACTTTCACACAGAGGGACTAGAACACACAGAGAGAGCAGAACACACAGAGAGAGCAGAACACACAGAGAGAGCAGAACACACAGAGGGACTAGAACACACAGAGAGAGCAGAACACACAGAGGGACTAGAACACACAGAGGGACTAGAACACACAGAGAGAGCAGAACACACAGAGGGACTAGAACACACAGAGAGAGCAGAACACACAGAGGGACTCGAACATACAGAGAGAGCAGAACACACAGAGGGACTAGAACACACAGAGAGAGCAGAACACACAGAGGGACTAGAACACACAGAGAGAGCAGAACACACAGAGGGACTAGAACACACAGAGAGAGCAGAACACACAGAGGGACTCGAACATACAGAGAGAGCAGAACACACAGAGGGACTAGAACACACAGAGAGAGCAGAACACACAGAGGGACTAGAACACACAGAGAGAGCAGAACACACAGAGGGACTCGAACATACAGAGAGAGCAGAACACACAGAGGGACTAGAACACACAGAGAGAGCAGAACACACAGAGGGACTAGAACACACAGAGAGAGCAGAACACACAGAGGGACTCGAACATACAGAGAGAGCAGAACACACAGAGGGACTAGAACATACAGAGAGAGCAGAACACACAGAGGGACTAGAACACACAGAGAGAGCAGAACACACAGAGGGACTCGAACATACAGAGAGAGCAGAACACACAGAGGGACTAGAACACACAGAGAGAGCAGAACACACAGAGGGACTAGAACACACAGAGAGAGCAGAACACACAGAGGGACTAGAACACACAGAGAGAGCAGAACACACAGAGGGACTCGAACATACAGAGAGAGCAGAACACACAGAGGGACTAGAACACACAGAGAGAGCAGAACACACAGAGGGACTAGAACACACAGAGAGAGCAGAACACACAGAGGGACTCGAACATACAGAGAGAGCAGAACACACAGAGGGACTAGAACACACAGAGAGAGCAGAACACACAGAGGGACTAGAACACACAGAGAGAGCAGAACACACAGAGGGACTCGAACATACAGAGAGAGCAGAACACACAGAGGGACTAGAACATACAGAGAGAGCAGAACACACAGAGAGAGCAGAACACACAGAGGGACTAGAACACACAGAGGGACTAGAACATACAGAGAGAGCAGAACACACAGAGAGAGCAGAACACACAGAGGGACTAGAACACACAGAGGGACTAGAACACACAGAGAGAGCAAAACACACAGAGAGAGCAGAACACACAGAGAGAGCAGAACACACAGAGGGAGCAGAACATGGTTGGTTCGCGTCCCCCTGAGCCTCGGTGTGATCCTGTGTTTTCATCAGCAGCAGCTTCACTGCGGCTGAAGTCTGATCAGAGCAGTTAACGACCACCGCAAACCTCTGCAGCGGCTACAAATCACACAGGCTCAGGTCGGGAGGGGGAGGAGGGGGGAGGAGTCAGAGAGGGAGGGGGGAGGAGTCAGAGAGGGAGGGGGGAGGAGTCAGAGAGGGAGGGGGGAGGAGTCAGAGAGGGAGGGGGGAGGGGAGGAGTCAGAGAGGGAGGGGGGAGGAGGAGGGAGGAGTCAGAGAGGGAGGGGGGAGGAGGAGGGAGGAGTCAGAGAGGGAGGGGGGAGGAGGGGGGAGGAGTCAGAGAGGGAGGGGGGAGGAGGGGGGGAGGAGTCAGAGAGGGAGGGGGGGAGGGGAGGTGAGGAGGAGGGGGGGGGGAGGAGGAGGGGAGGAGTCAGAGAGGGAGGGGGGAGGAGGAGGGAGGAGTCAGAGAGGGAGGGGGGAAGAGGGGGGAGGAGTCAGAGAGGGAGGGGGGAGGGGGGGGGGAGGAGGAGGAGGAGGGGAGGAGTCAGAGAGGGAGGGGGGAGAAAGGACTGGACCCAGAGAGAGAGATGGGGATCAAGGGACCAGAGGGACATGATCAGGATGCATTCTGGAGCAGATGTATTTTTATTTTTGTGTGGCCCTAAATCACAACAGTAGTTTTCTCTGAGGACTTCACAAAACTGTCGATTCTCCAGCAGCAGATCAGAGAATCAAACCGTTCAAACACAGGGAATGCGAGGAACAAAAACACATAGAGCTGTTGGTTCTTATAAATGTCCTTCAATATTGGTGAATGTGTAGTGTCCTGGATCAACACTAATACTGATAGATTTACCTTAAAATCTTGGTATTTGGTCCCACTGTGAGCCCTGGCCCTGGCCTTGTCCCTGACCATAACCACAACCAAAATGAACCGTTCCTAACCACAGACCGTACATAAGGTCCTCCTGAGCCTTGAAGCAGGAGAGGCAGAGAAGAGAAAGCTCAGAACAGGACATTTGTGGAGCCAAAGTCCTGCAGATGTTGTTGTTAGCCATGAACGAGTGACTGAGCGGCAGTCGAGACATGGGTCTGTTGCCCCGCGCTAGCTAACGCCAAATTCAGTGTTTGGGCTCATGTCTGTCACGGCTGTTCATTTTCTCTTTGTAACGGTGTTGTTCACAGGTTTATCCTCCAAACTGCAGCCTCAGGCCTCTCACTGCGGCTCTGTTTAACCCCAGGAACAAAGTAAACTTGTTAAATATATAAGAATGAATAAACTTCACAAATGAACAATTTATAATGAAAAACATTTGATTTAAGAATAAAGTTTCAGGCCTAATAACTCCAACAGGCTTCACACGGCTCTGTCTGATCTGTACCGACCCACTTCCTCTTCATAAACAAACAGTTTCATATCTTAATCTTGAAGCAGTGAAACCAGAGAAAGTCCATATTAAACACAGCGTAGAGAGTTATTCCAGGCCACAGCCGCAGCCACAGCCGCAGCCACAGCCGCAGCCACAGCCACAGCCGCAGCCGCCCTGTGCCCTTGTCGTGCCTTGGGTCGTACATTATGGCGCGGCTCATTCCTCAGCTCAGGTTTAATTAGGAGTTAAGAGTGTGGTGCTGCGGCGCAGATGGATGGGAGCCCTACACTACAGGCCCCACACAGAGCACAGCACTCATTATGTTTGTGCAGAAAACAGCAGTTCTTCTGTCCCCGAGGGCGCTCTGTGTCCGAGGGCGCTCTGTGTCCGAGGGCGCTCTGTGTCCGAGGGCGCTCTGTGTCCGAGGGCGCTCTGTGTCCGAAGGCGCTCTGTGTCCGAGGGCGCTCTGTCCCCGAGGGCGCTCTGTGTCCGAGGGCGCTCTGTCCCCGAGGGCGCTCTGTGTCCGAAGGCGCTCTGTGTCCGAAGGCGCTCTGTGTCCGAGGGCGCTCTGTGTCCGAGGGCGCTCTGTCCCCGAGGGCGCTCTGTGTCTGAGGGCGCTCTGTGTCCGAGGGCGCTCTGTCCCCGAGGGCGCTCTGTGTCCGAGGGCGCTCTGTCCCCGAGGGCGCTCTGTGTCTGAAGGCGCTCTGTGTCCGAGGGCGCTCTGTCCCCGAGGGCGCTCTGTGTCCGAAGGCGCTCTGTGTCCGAGGGCGCTCTGTGTCTGAGGGCGCTCTGTGTCCGTGGGCAGGGGTTCTCAAGCAGGGGTTCTCAAGCAGGGGTTCTCAAGCTGAGGTTCTCAAGCTGAGGTTCTCAAGCTGAGGTTCTCAAGCTGAGGTTCCTAAACTGAGGTTCCCAAGTAGAGGTTCCCAAGCTGAGGTTCCCAAGCTGAGATTCTCAAACTGAGATTTTCAAGCTGAGGTGCGAGGGCTGATGAGGAGAGTTCCCAGTTTGTGTTGTTTACTATGAGGTTCCAGAATAAAACCGAGAACCTCATTGAAATAAACTGTAAGAATCTTCCTGGTCTCCTCCTGGTCTCCTCCTGGTCTCCTCCTGGTCTCCTCCTGGTCTCCTCCTGGTCTCCTCCTGGTCTCCTCCTGTGGGACGTGCCCAGAACACCTCCTCAGAGAGACAGAGCAGATCTCTGAGCCAGTTTCTCAGGTGAATGGATATTATTCTCACTCAAATAGATTTGAACAACATCCATCTCTCCCTCTGGAGACACACACACAGACATGGAGACACACACACACACACATGGAGACACACACACAGATATGGAGACACACACACATGGAGACACACACATAGACACAGACACACACACAGACATGGAGACACACACACACACACATGGAGACACACAAACAGACATGGAGACACACACACACACACATGGAGACACACACACACATGGAGACACACACATAGACACAGACACACACACACACACATGGAGACACACACACACACACGGAGACACACACACACACACATGGAGACACACACACAGACATGGAGACACACACACACACACACACACACACACACACACATGGAGACACACACACATGGAGACTGTTGTATATTTTAATATTTGACCATTTGAACATCATAGCCAGAAAGACCTCTGTGCACTCAGGAAAAACCCCAAGGACACAGGATAATCAGACATGAGTTTACTCAGATAAAGATAAAATGCTGTTTAAACAGGGCGAATTATTAACTTTAAATAATAAACACAGATCCACCTTAACCCTAACCTTAACCATCTTACTCAGACCACCTTAACCCTAACCTTAACCATCTTACTCAGACCACCTTAACCCTAACCTTAACCATCTTACTCAGACCACCTTAACCCTAACCTTAACCATCTTACTCAGATCCACCTTAACCCTAACCTTAACCATCTTACTCAGATCCACCTTAACCCTAACCTTAACCATCTTACTCAGATCCACCTTAACCCTAACCTTAACCATCTTACTCAGACCACCTTAACCCTAACCTTAACCATCTTACTCAGACCACCTTAACCCTAACCTTAACCATCTTACTCAGATCCACCTTAACCCTAACCTTAACCATCTTACTCAGACCACCTTAACCCTAACCTTAACCATCTTACTCAGACCACCTTAACCCTAACCTTAACCATCTTACTCAGACCACCTTAACCCTAACCTTAACCATCTTAATCAGACCACCTTAACCCTAACCTTAACCATCTTACTCAGACCACCTTAACCCTAACCTTAACCATCTTACTCAGACCACCTTAACCCTAACCTTAACCATCTTAATCAGACCACCTTAACCCTAACCTTAACCATCTTACTCAGACCACCTTAACCCTAACCTTAACCATCTTACTCAGACCACCTTAACCCTAACCTTAACCATCTTACTCAGACCACCTTAACCCTAACCTTAACCATTTTACTCAGACCACCTTAACCCTAACCTTAACCATCTTACTCAGACCACCTTAACCCTAACCTTAACCATCTTACTCAGACGCCTAAAACTTAACCAGTCACCACTTAAGGACTTATTAGTCTAAAAATAATTCGTAAGTAGGAGTGTTACTTCCGTATATGATCTAGTGCCGACCATAACACCATGTGCACGTGCTCATGGACCTTTTGGCCCCGCCCACACTGGCTCAGGCGAGTAAAAAACATAAGAAATGTAAAAAACACACAACTCACGTGGAATTAAAAGTCAATATCATTATTTTAAAGTTTCATTCTAATGTATAAAAATCACCATCGGCTCAAAGTCAGGTCTAAAACAAGACTTTTCTGGGTCTATATTTGAAATAAAACTACACTGTTTATTCTGATACTTCTATGTGACAAAAGAAGACACAAATATGGACTGAAACCAAAGAGAGACCAGAGAGAGACCAGAGAGAGACCAGAGAGAGAGAGACCAGAGAGAGAGAGACCAGAGAGAGACCAGAGAGAGACCAGAGAGAGAGACCAGAGAGAGAGACCAGAGAGAGAGAGACCAGAGAGAGACCAGAGAGAGACCAGAGAGAGACCAGAGAGAGACCAGAGAGAGAGAGACCAGAGAGAGACCAGAGAGAGACTAGAGAGAGACCAGAGAGAGACTAGAGAGAGACCAGAGAGAGACTAGAGAGAGACCAGAGAGAGACCAGAGAGAGACCAGAGAGAGACCAGAGAGAGACCAGAGAGAGACCAGAGAGAGACCAGAGAGAGAGACCAGAGAGAGACCAGAGAGAGACCAGAGAGAGAGACCAGAGAGAGACCAGAGAGAGACCAGAGAGAGACCAGAGAGAGACCAGAGAGAGACCAGAGAGGGACCAGAGAGAGACCAGAGAGAGACCAGAGAGAGACCAGAGAGAGACCAGAGAGAGAGACCAGAGAGAGACCAGAGAGAGACCAGAGAGGGACCAGAGAAAGACCAGAGAGAGACCAGAGAGAGAGACCAGAGAGAGACCAGAGAGAGAGACCAGAGAGAGACCAGAGAGAGACCAGAGAGAGAGACCAGAGAGAGACCAGAGAAGGACCAGAGAGGGACCAGAGAGAGACCAGAGAAAGACCAGAGAGGGACCAGAGAGAGACCAGAGAGAGACCAGAGAGAGACCAGAGAGAGACCAGAGAGAGACCAGAGAGAGTTGTGGTGGGCTCGAACCAACTGAGTCACTGTCTCTTTACCATCAACAAACAATTAAATAATTTTCTGTACAGCCTCAGATCAGAACAGTAGATTTAAAACAGCAGATCAGAGAATCAGTTCAAACATAATAAATGTGATAAAAACACACATCGGTCCACGAGGAGAAGACGACAAAGTGAAGCTGTTGTGGATCAAGGAAAAACAAATCTTTTTTAGTTTTTATATCCCGTAAAGTCCTCTCCACACGGCGCTAAGCTAGCTCATATGTTTACCTTTAAAGGTTGTCTCCGGATAAGCCCCGGACCCCACGGAGCAGACTTCATCAGGATTACACAGACCACAGCGGACCCCACAGAGCAGACTTCATCAGGATTACACAGACCACAGCGGACCCCACAGAGCAGACTTCATCAGGATTACACAGACCACAGCGGACCCCACAGAGCAGACTTCATCAGGATTACACAGACCACAGCGGACCCCACAGAGCAGACTTCATCAGGATTACACAGACCACAGCGGACCCCACAGAGCAGACTTCATCAGGATTACACAGACCACAGCGGACCCCACAGAGCAGACTTCATCAGGATTACACAGACCACAGCGGACCCCACAGAGCAGACTTCATCAGGATTACACAGACCACAGCGGACCCCACAGAGCAGACTTCATCAGGATTACACAGACCACAGCGGACCCCACAGAGCAGACTTCATCAGGATTACACAGACCACAGCGGACCCCACAGAGCAGACTTCATCAGGATTACACAGACCACAGCGGACCCCACAGAGCAGACTTCATCAGGATTACACAGACCACAGCGGACCCCACAGAGCAGACTTCATCAGGATTACACAGACCACAGCGGACCCCACAGAGCAGACTTCATCAGGATTACACAGACCACAGCGGACCCCACAGAGCAGACTTCATCAGGATTACACAGACCACAGCGGACCCCACAGAGCAGACTTCATCAGGATTACACAGACCACAGCGGACCCCACAGAGCAGACTTCATCAGGATTACACAGACCACAGCGGTCATAAACAAACACTGGTCTGTGGGGACGCCTGTGCTTTTGACCACGGCTGTAACCTACAGGCTAATCCTGCTAACACACGCTAACACACACTCAGGGCTAACACACACTAACACACACTAACACACGCTAACCCACGCTAACACACACTTAGGGCTAACACACACTAACACACGCTCAGGGCTAACACACGCTAACACACACTAACACACGCTAAAACACACTCAGGGCTAACACACACTAACACATACTAACACACGCTAACACACACTAACACACACCCAGGGCTAACACACATTAACACACACTCAGGGCTAACACACACTAACACACGCTCATGGCTAACACACACTAACACACGCTAACACACACTCATGGCTAACACACGCTAACACACGCTAACACACACTAACACACGCTAACACATGCTAACACACACTAACACACGCTAACACACACTAACACACACTCAAGGCTAACACACACTCAGGGCTAACACACACTCGGGACAGCGCTATAACACACACTCACAGGAGAGCGTGTGTTATCCCTGAGTGTGTGTTATAGCGCAGTCTTGAGTGTGTTAGCCCTGAGTGTGTGTTAGCCCTGAGTGTGTGTTATCCCTGAGTGTGTGTTAGCCCTGAGTGTGTGTTATCCCTGAGTGTGTGTTAGCCCTGAGTGTGTGTTATCCCTGAGTGTGTGTTATAGCGCTGTCCTGAGAGTCTGAAAGATGAAAGATGTGAGCCGTTTTACAGCTGTAATATTTACGGTCTGTAGGCAGCGCAGAGAGAGAGACCAGAGAGAGACCAGAGAGAGACCAGAGAGAGACCAGAGAGAGACCAGAGAGAGACCAGAGAGAGACCAGAGAGAGACCAGAGAGAGACCAGAGAGAGACCAGAGAGAGGCCAGAGAGAGACCAGAGAGAGACCAGAGAGAGACCAGAGAGAGACCAGAGAGAGAGACCAGAGAGAGACCAGAGAGAGAGAGACCAGAGAGACCAGAGCGAGACCAGAGAGAGACCAGAGAGAGAGACCAGACAGAGACCAGAGAGAGAGACCAGAGAGAGACCAGAGAGTCTGTCTGTGTGTGTGTGTGTGTGTATGGAGCCTGAAACACTCTGACACTTCCTTCACATGCTTTGCCCCTGAACAACAACAAACAGTGAGTTACGCAACAAACCAAAATAGAAATGTTTAAAATGAATTGCTGCTATTAATGTTGTCGCATGTGTGTGTGTGTGTGTGTGTGTATGTATGTTTGTATTTAGGGTTACTGTATGTTTTTTTTATAATTCTATATTTTTGTTTCAGCATATTTTATGTTTATAAATTCATTTTTGGGACATTGTAAATGACCACAGAATAGCTCCAGAATAAGTCAGTAGCTAAAGGATCTGAATAAAAACAAGAGAGATCATTCTAACTGTAGTGTCAGTCATTCTAACTGTAATGTCAGTCATTCTAACTGTAGTTTCAGTCATTCTAACTGTAGTTTCAGTCATTCTAACTGTAGTGTCAGTCATTCTAACTGTAATGTCAGTCATTCTAACTGTAGTGTCAGTCATTCTAACTGTAGTTTCAGTCATTCTAACTGTAGTTTCAGTCATTCTAACTGTAGTGTCAGTCATTCTAACTGTAGTTTCAGTCATTCTAACTGTAGTTTCAGTCATTCTAATTGTAGTTTCAGTCATTCTAACTGTAGTGTCAGTCATTCTAACTGTAGTTTCAGTCGTTCTAACTGTAGTGTCAGTCATTCTAACTGTAGTGTCACTCATTCTAACTGTAATGTCAGTCATTCTAACTGTAGTTCCAGTCATTCTAACTGTAGTCTCAGTCATTCTAACTGTAGTGTCAGTCAATCTAACTGTAGTGTCAGTCATTCTAACTGTAGTTTCAGTCATTCTAACTGTAGTTTCTGTCATTCTAACTGTAGTGTCAGTCATTCTAACTGTAGTTCCAGTCATTCTAACTGTAATGTCAGTCATTCTAACTGTAGTTTCAGTCATTCTAACTGTAGTGTCAGTCATTCTAACTGTAATGTCAGTCATTCTAACTGTAGTTTCAGTCATTCTAACTGTAATGTCAGTCATTCTAACTGTAGTTCCAGTCATTCTAACTGTAGTGTCAGTCATTCTAACTGTAGTTTCAGTCATTCTAACTGTAGTGTCAGTCATTCTAACTGTAATGTCAGTCATTCTAACTGTAGTTTCAGTCATTCTAACTGTAGTTTCAGTCATTCTAACTGTAGTGTCAGTCATTCTAACTGTAATGTCAGTCATTCTAACTGTAGTGTCAGTCATTCTAACTGTAGTTTCAGTCATTCTAACTGTAGTTTCAGTCATTCTAACAGTAGTTTCAGTCATTCTAACTGTAGTTCCAGTCATTCTAACAGTAGTGTCAGTCATTCTAACTGTAGTTTCAGTCATTCTAACAGTAGTGTCAGTCATTCTAACTGTAGTTTCAGTCATTCTAACAGTAGTGTCAGTCATTCTAACTGTAGTTTCAGTCATTCTAACAGTAGTGTCAGTCATTCTAACTGTAGTGTCAGTCATTCTAACTGTAGTTTCAGTCATTCTAACTGTAGTGTCAGTCATTCTAACTGTAGTGTCAGTCATTCTAACTGTAGTGTCAGTCATTCTAACTGTAGTGTCAGTCATTCTAACTGTAGTTTCAGTCATTCTAACTGTAGTTTCAGTCATTCTAACTGTAGTTCCAGTCATTCTAACAGTAGTGGTCGCCGTAGTAACAGAGGAACCATCTCCAGTAGTTAGAACCAGAGCTGAAGGATTTTACCTACTGTACATGTTTTAGTGGTAGGCAAAACCAAAGCACCTGGAGGAAACCCACACAGACATGGGGAGAACATGCAAACTCCACTTAGCAAGACTCTGTTCCGACCAGGATTTGAACCCAACACCTTTCGAGCTGAGAAGGTCCTGGGTTATGTATAGTTATATAAATGTTTATTTTCTCTATATCTCAGTGTGTGTCTGTGTAAAAGGTCCATGAAGGTAAAACCCTCCGGACACATCCACATCCCATAGTTTCAGATTCACAACACATTCCCTCGACACAACTGTATCTGAGTCGTTCCTGGAGGTCCACCTTCGCGCCGTTGCCCATTTCCAGTCTGACCTGCTTTGGCGTCGCAAATAGAAATGACATAATAGCACAGAGGAGGCTATGCTAATGCTGTTATCGCTAAAGTAAATAAAGTGGGTCAGCCTTAACCTGAGCTAAAGGTCTAATGCAGGCAGATGCGGAGCCAGCACCGCGGATTACCACAACAGGATTTGGGATTAGAAACATGGGAATTTTATTTATTTAGTCTCTATTTTAGACCGCTGCTCTCTCACCTGCAGAGTCCAGATTTATAAATAGACCTCGGAATGCAATGTCACTTCTTTCTTTCTCCTGTGAATCGCCGACAGGGAAACTAGGCCAAACAAGGACTGGACCAAACCCGGAGACAATCAGGACCAGACAGACTTCAACGACTGAGATTCTTACATAGATTTGGCTTTTTGGCAATTTTGATTTTGGTAATTCTGTGTTTGTGGAGGAAAGACAAATAATGTGTATTTTTCCCACATTTTCATCACAAACGGCTCTTTACAGCGTTTGTTTCACTTCATGTTCAGACCATAATAACTGTGAATTTTGAGCCCGGTCTGATTTTCTCCATGTTTGTAAAGTCTTTGGCAAAGGCGACAGTAGCTCAGTTGGTAGAGCTTTGGCCTTTGAGCCAGAAGGTCGTGGGTTCAAGCCCCGCTCAAGACTTTCACCATCAACTCCCACTGACTACTGTCGTTGTGTCCTGGGCAAGACACTTAACCTCTGGGAACACCAGCCACAGTGGGGCGGCTGCGGCTGTAAAGTGCCAAACTGCCGTTGTGTCCTTAGGCAAGACACTTCACCCCCATTGCCTAGAATGAGTCTGGTGTGTGTGTGAATGATTGGTGGTGGTCAGAGGGGCCGATGGCGCATACTGGTTGCCTCGCTTCTGTCAGTGTGCCCCAGGGCAGCTGTGGCTACAGCAGTAGTTTATCACCACCGTGTATGGAGTGAATGAATAATGACACATGTGAAGCGTCTTTGAGTGTCCAGAAAAGCGCTATATAAAACCGATGCATTATTATTATTATTATTTGAATATATGGCAATACATCACAGAATTTAATCATAAAACTGACTGTATCGCAATATGTTAAGAATCGCAATAATATCAAATCGTCACATTTTACCCATGGTTTTTGTGGTACGTATAATGTTACCAGCTGCTTTAGCATCACATGTACAGTACAGACCAAGAGTTTGGACACCTTCTCATTCAAAGAGGTTTTTATTTTCATGATTATAAAATTGTAAATTGACACTGAAGGCCTCAAACCTATGAATGAACTCATGTGAAATTATGTTTGTACTAAAAAAGTATGAACCAAGTGTAAATATGTGTTATATTCTGGTTCTTCAAAGTAGCTCCTTTTGCTCTGATACTGCTTCACTCTTGGCATTCTCTGGATGAGCTTCAACAGGACCTGAAATGGTCTTCAACAGTCTTGAAGGAGTTCCCATGATGCTTAGCACTTGTTGGCCCCTTCACTCTGTGGTCCAGCCCCAAAACCATCTGGACTGGGTTCAGGTCCAAAACCATCTGGACTGGGTTCAGGTCCAAAACCATCTGGACTGGGTTCAGGTCCAAAACCATCTGGACTGGGTTCAGGTCCAAAACCATCTGGACTGGGTTCAGGTGTGGTGACTGTGAAGGTCATGTGGCCCAGCACCATCTCTCTCCTTATTGGTCAAACAGCCCTTTCACAGCCTGGTGCGGGTCTACAGCAATAGTCATGAAAAGAACTCAGTGAAGGAGAGAGGGTGTCCAGACTTTTGCTCTGTACTGTATTTATAACAGAGGAAGCCAACAATCTCCACATCTGCTACAACACGGTTTATCGCTGAAGTCAATCTGTTTTGCATAATACGTGTCTTCTTCAAGTTTTAATTTCCTCTTTTCTTCCCGTCCCTTGAACATTATGACAGATTGTATCAGAGAAGTCTTTGATCCAGGCGCTGCTTCGAGTCCTAACCGTGAGTGACGTGGCGGCGGCTCGTATCTGCGCTGGATCCTGTCACGGAGAACAGTTTTGCATCGGAGGAATCAGGATTTGATGAAACAATTGGATTTGATTTGGGTGAAAAATGAGATTGTCGTAGTTTAGGACAAGCTGCATGTGCTGATGGATGGAGCCACTCAGGCTGCGGTAAAGCGCCACAGATACAGGAGCTAAATATAAAGTTCTGCACAAGGTGAAGAGGGTCAGCTGCAAATACTGAGAAAACATTTTTACTATTGAGGAAATGTATGTTTTAGATGTAGACTTCCTGAAAATATGAGGTCTATGGTCTCTCTTTTGTCTCCCTCCTTGGATTCTCTCTGGTCTCTCTCTGGTCTCTCTCTCTGGTCTCTCTCTCTGGTCTCTCTCTGGTCTCTCTGGTCTCTCGCTGGTCTCTCTCTGGTCTCTCGCTGGTCTCTCGCTGGTCTCTCGCTGGTCTCTCGCTGGTCTCTTGCTGGTCTCTCTCTGGTCCCTCGCTGGTCTCTCTCTGGTCTCTCTCTGGTCTCTCTGGTCTCTCTCTCTGGTCTCTCTCTCTGGTCTCTCTCTGGCCTCTCTCTGGTCTCTCTCTCTGGTCTCTCTCTGGTCTCTCTCTCTGGTCTCTCTCTCTGGTCTCTCTCTGGTCTCTCTCTGGTCTCTCTCTCTGGTCTCTCTCTCTGGTCCCTCTCTGGTCTCTCTCTCTGGTCTCTCTCTCTGCGCTCTCTCTGGTCTCTCTCTCTGGTCTCTCTCTCTGGTCCCTCTCTGGTCTCTCTCTCTGGTCTCTCTCTCTGCGCTCTCTCTGGTCTCTCTCTGGTCTCTCTCTCTGGTCTCTCTCTCTGGTCCCTCTCTGGTCTCTCTCTCTGGTCTCTCTCTCTGCGCTCTCTCTGGTCTCTCTCTCTGGTCTCTCTCTCTGGTCCCTCTCTGGTCTCTCTCTCTGGTCTCTCTCTCTGCGCTCTCTCTGGTCTCTCTCTCTGGTCTCTCTCTGGTGTCTCTACTATTTCTCTCTTGATCCTTTTTCTTTTCAGCTCCTTCCAAAGAACAAAACTCTTCCAAATCGTATCAATATTTCCGCAGGAGCCTCTCTCTCTTCTGTGTGTGAAATATTGATGTGTCTGGTGTTCTCTCTCTCCGTCACTAACAAACCCTCTTCAAACAGAATGCATTTTTCAGAAGCAGAGAAGAGACTGTAGCTTTCTGTGTTTACAACAGTTTAACGACCGCGGAGCGAGGCCGGTCCACGGACGCTGCTTAAACGTGTGTGTGTGTGTGTGTGTGTGTGTGTGTGTGTGTGTGTGTGTGTGTGTGTGTGGAGAACCTACCACGACTTAAAGCAAAAATAATAATAAAAGTGATAAAAGAGAAGACAAGTCGCTCCTTCGGGTCAAATAAGAGGAAAATTGCTGTTTTGTTCCAGAGAGTACGTTTAGAGCTTTTTCTGCTGAAACGATAACGAGACTTGAAAATTGGGGTCTACAGCCTCAGTCCTGGGTCTACAGCCTCAGTCCTGGGTCTACAGCCTCAGTCCTGGATCTACAGCCTCAGTCCTGGGTCTACAGCCTCAGTCCTGGATCTACAGCATCAGTCCTGGATCTACAGCCTCAGTCCTGGGTCTACAGCCTCAGTCCTGGGTCTACAGCCTAAGTCCTGGGTCTACAGCCTCAGTCCTGGATCTACAGCCTCAGTCCTGGATCTACAGCCTCAGTCCTGGGTCTACAGTCTCAGTCCTTTATCGGAGAATGCGATAGTAAAATAATCTGTTCTGTTCGATCCAAATATCAAGAAACTGAAGCCAGAGCAAGAGGAATGTTTAGTAAATGTCATCGAAGCAAAGATGTTGTGGCTCTACTCCCCACGGGCTCCGTTAGTGGCAAAGGAGATGGCTAAAGCTAGGCTACATGCTAAAGCAGGGCTAAATGCTAAAGCTAGGCTAATGCTAAATGCCTCACTCACTCGGGCTCATTACATACGTCACAGCAGGGCCGGAGTGGGACAACATTTCAGGCCGGGAGCTTTTCATCCATTCAGGCCAAACAAGGTTCTAAATTTGGGTTTTTGTCATTGATTGACTGCGGAACCTTCCGCAGTCAACCATTGGTTTTGTATTTCTTTATTCCGTCATTTTTTTTGACACGTTTCACAGCTTTCACATTTTCAACAATTTCCACAAGTTATACATCAAAACGTTCCACATGTTTGGGAGATTATTGCTATTACTTTTGGGACTTCAGCGATTTCCGGTTTTTCCGCAATCGGACAAAAATCTGCATTGAGAATTCTGCAATGCATTTTAATAGGCCCATGCATTTTAATAGGACTTCAGCTCTTTCAGACATTTCTACAGTTTCAATGATTCAACAGTTTCAAGGATTCAACAGTTTCAAGGATTTCAGCAGTTTCAAGATTTCAAGAGTTTCAAGGACTTCAACAGTTTCAAGGACTTCAGCAGTTTCAAGGACTTCAGCAGTTTCAAGGACTTCAGTGTAATCATGCAACCTAATAGGGTTTTTTCCATGTAAACCAGTATAATGCAACTTAATAGGGATTTTTCCATGTAAACCAGTATAATGCAACTTAATAGGGTTTTTTCATGTAAACCAGTATAATGCAACTTAATAGGGTTTTTTTTCATGTAAACCAGTATAATGCAACTTAATGGGGATTTTTCCATGTAAACCAGTATAATGCAACTTAATAGGGGTTTTTACATGTAAACCAGTATAATGCAACTTAATAGGGTTTTTTCCATGTAAACCAGTATAATGCAACTTCAGAATCAGAATCAGAATCATTTTTATTGCCAACGTAAGTAACGGGAGGTCACAGACTTGGAAATTGCTTTGGCTCAGTGCAACAGTCAAAAAGAGATAATAAAAATAAGAATAAAAAACACTTCTAAAGAATAAATTTAAATTTAAAATAGAGTTACAGTTACTATTTACAATATACAAGTGCACATGGTGCACACAATGTAAGGTGACAGCAGTACAGTGAAGTAAAGTGACGTATGATGGGCAGTAAAGTGACTTTATAAAGGGCGGGGGGACAGGTTAAGAAGTGTTCAAGAGTCCAACAGCAGAGGGGAAGAAACTGTTCTTGTGGCGGGAGGTTCTAGTCCTGATGGACCGCAGCCTCCTGCCTGAGGGGAGTGGTTGGAATAGTCCATGTGCAGGGTGAGAGGGGTCGGCTGTGATACGACCAGCCCGGCCTCGAGCTCGGGCGACGTACAGGTCCTGCAGCGATGGAAGGCTGCGGCCGATCACTTCCTCTGCAGAGCGCACAATGCGCTGTAGTCTCTGTTTGTCCCTGACTGTGGCTCCAGCGAACCACACGGTGATGGAGGAGGTGAGGATGGACTCGATGATGGCCGTGTAGAACTGCACCAACATCTGTGCAGGCAGCTTGGCTTTCCTGAGCTGCCGCAGGAAGTACATCCTCTGCTGGGCCTTCTTGATGAGGGAGCTGATGGTCGGCTCCCACTTGAGGTCCTGGGTGATGGTGGTGCCCAGGAAACGGAAGGACTCCACAGAGGTGATGGGGGAGTCCATCACGGAGGGTGGGGGCGGGGGGACAGTGCTCTTCCTGAAGTCCACAATCATCTCCACTGTCTTCTGGGCGTTCAGCTCCAGGTTGTTACCACTGCACCAGGACACCAGCCGGTCCACCTCCCTCCTGTAGGCGGACTCATCGTTGTTGGAGATGAGTCCAATGAGGGTGGTGTCGTCCGCGAACTTGATCAGCTTCACGGAGTCGTGGCTGGAGGTGCAGTGGTTGGTGTACAGGGAGAAGAGCAGGGGAGAAAGAACACAGCCCTGTGGGGCTCCTGTATTTATAATCCGAGAGTCCGAGACATTCTTCCCCAGACGCACTCGCTGCTTCCTGTCCGTCAGGAAGTCAGTGATCCACCTGCAGGTGGAATCGGGCACGTTGAGCTGGGAGAGCTTGTCCTGGAGCAGGGATGGCAGGATTGTGTTGAAGGCAGAGCTGAAGTCCACGAACAGGACCCTGGCGTAGGTCCCCGGGGAGTCCAGGTGCTGTAGGATGTGGTGGAGGGCCAGGTTAATGGCGTCGTCTACAGATCTGTTGGCTCTGTAGGCGAACTGCAGGGGGTCCAGGAGGGGGGAGGTGAGGGACTTGAGATGGGAGAGAACCAGGCGTTCAAATGACTTCATGACGACAGACGTAAGTGCTACAGGTCTGTAGTCATTGAGTCCTGTGATCCTGGGCTTCTTCGGGACGGGGACAATGATGGAGGATTTGAAGCAGGCCGGGACATGGCAGGACTGCAGAGAGGTGTTGAAAATGTCCGTGAACACAGGAGTAAGCTCACTGGCGCAGTGTCTCAGAGTGGCCGGAGACACGTGGTCCGGGCCAGGAGCTTTGCGGGGGTGCAGCCTCAGGAAGAGTTGTTTAATCTCTTTAGCGGCTATTGTTAGGCTGGGGGCAGGGCTGATGGGTGGGTCGTTAGAGTAGTGGGGGGTGGGGGAGGGAGAGGTGTCAGGGGCAGCATCAAAGCGACTGAAAAATAAGTTCAGATCGTCAGCTAGCTTGTGGTCATCAGCACAGGGGGGGGCTTTGGGTTTGTAGTTGGTGATCTCCCGTAGGCCCCTCCAGACAGAAGCAGTATCGTTGTTACCAAACTGCTCCTGTAGTCGTTCTCTGTGCCGGGACTTGGCTGCTTTCAGTTCTTTCCTGAACTGATATTTAGCTGCTTTGTAGCCGCTGCGGTCCCCCTCCCTGAAAGCAGACTCCTTTGCTTTCCTGAGCTGCCGGAGTTTAGCAGTGAACCAGGGTTTGTCGTTGTTATAGATGACCCTGGTCCTTGTTGGAATGATGCTATCCTCACAGAAGTGGATGTATGACGTCACAGTGTCCGTATATTCATCCAAGCTGTCTGTGGCAGCTCAGAAAAGGTCCCAGTCTGTAGATTCCATGCATGCGCGCAGCTCTTCCACAGCTTCATCAGACCACACTTTGGAGCTCCTCACTGCAGGTTTCGAGAGCTTTAGTCTCTGTCTGTAAGCAGGAACCAGATGTATCATGGAGTGATCTGAGAAGCCGAGGGCTGGCTTGGGAACAGCGCGAAAAGCTCCGCGCACGGTGGTGTAACAGTGATCCAGAGTGTTCTCCTCTCTGGTCGGGCATTTGATAAACTGTCTGTATTTGGGTAATTCCTGGCTCAAGTTTCCCTTATTAAAATCCCCCAGGATAATAATCAGAGAGTCCGGGTATAAGCGTTCCATACACAGTACTTGCTCTGCGAGTGCGCGCTGAGCCTCGCGCGCGTCCGCGCATGGCGGTATGTAAACAGAGGCAAGAATGAATGAAACAATTTCCCGCGGGGAGTAATATGGATTACAATGAATGAAAAGATATTCCAGAGCAGGAGAGCAGTGCTTGGAGATCACTGTCACATCGTTACACCAGTTTGTATTGACGTAGAAACAGAGCCCTCCGCCTCTGCTCTTCCCTGAGAGCGCACAATGGCGATCCGCGCGAAACAGCCCAAAGCCCTGCAGCTCCAGAGCGCAGTCCGGGATCCGCTCATTTAGCCAGGTCTCAGTGAAGCAGAGGACACAGGATGTGGCGAAGTCCTTGTTTCTTCTCATGAGCAGGCTGAGTTCGTCCATCTTATTGCCCAGTGAGCGTACGTTGGAGAGAAAAATGCCGGGGAGAGCCGTGCGCGCTCCTCTCCTCCTAAGACGCACGAGCAGGCCTCCTCGCTTTCCCCTTTTACGGGCCCACACAATAGGGGTTTTTACATGTAAACCAGTATAATGCAACTTAATAGGGTTTTTTCCATGTAAACCAGTATAATGCAACTTAATAGGGTTTTTTCCATGTAAACCAGTACAATGCAACTTAATAGGGATTTTTCCATGTAAACCAGTATAATGCAACTTAATAGGGTTTTTTACATGTAAACCAGTATAATGCAACTTAATGGGGATTTTTCCATGTAAACCAGTATTATGCAACTTAATAGGGGTTTTTACATGTAAACCAGTATAATGCAACTTAATAGGGTTTTTTCCATGTAAACCAGTATAATGCAACTTAATAGGGTTTTTTCCATGTAAACCAGTATAATGCAACTTAATAGGGTTTTTTCCATGTAAACCAGTACAATGCAACTTAATAGGGATTTTTCCATGTAAACCAGTATAATGCAACTTAATAGGGTTTTTTACATGTAAACCAGTATAATGCAACTTAATGGGGATTTTTCCATGTAAACCAGTATTATGCAACTTAATAGGGATTTTTCCATGTAAACCAGTATAATGCAACTTAATAGGGATTTTTCCTTGTAAACCAGTATAATGCAACTTAATAGGGTTTTTTTCATGTAAACCAGTATAATGCAACTTAATGGGGATTTTTCCATGTAAACCAGTATTATGCAACTTAATAGGGATTTTTCCATGTAAACCAGTATAATGCAACTTAATAGGGTTTTTACATGTAAACCAGTATAATGGAACTTAATAGGGGTTTTTACATGTAAACCAGTATAATGGAACTTAATAGGGGTTTTTACATGTAAACCAGTATAATGCAACTTAATAAGGATTTTTACATGTAAACCACTATAATGTAACCTAATAGGGGTTTTTACATGTAAACCAGTATAAAGCAACTTAATAGGGATTTGTACATGTAAACCAGTATAAAGCAACTTAATAGAGATTTTTCCATGTAAACCAGTATAATGCAACTTAATAGGGATTTTTCCATGTAAACCAGTATAATGCAACCTAATAGGGATTTTTCCATGTAAACCAGTATAATGCAACCTAATAGGGATTTTTCCATGTAAACCAGTATAATGCAACCTAATAGGTTGCATTATACCACCAGACCAAGACCCAAACGAAGACTCAGACCACCACCAGATAATGACCACAGACCAGGTTTCCTTAGTTACAGGAACCAAATTGTTTCAGCGGTGAGGGGATTTTTCAGTTTCAAGGACACTTTCAATACATTCAGTAGTTTCAAGGATTTCAACTGTTTAAGAATTTAACCAGTTTCAAGGATATCAGGAGGTTCAAGGATTTCAGGAGTTTCCACACTTTCAACAGTTTCCAGGTTTAAAAAAAGTTTCAAGGATTTCAGGAGTTTCAATGTTTCAACAGTTTCAAGGATTTCAGGAGTTTAAAGGTTTCAACAATTTCAAGGACTTCAGGAGTTTCAAATATCTATCAAGTATTTTAACAGTTTCAAGGCCTTTTAAAGGATTTCAAGGATTTTTTTTTAGCAGATTTCCACATTAGATCTGTTCCGCAGTCAATCGCAATGGCTTCAGCCATTGCAAGTTTCTAGTTGTATTTTGATGTTCTTTTAATAGTTTTAAGATTGACTGTCAAAACTTTTGTTTTCTTTATTTTTTTTTATATTGACTGTTTATATAATCTCGGACGTTTAAGGATTGTTGTACGTTGCTTAGCAACGTAACGTTTATGGAGTTTAGTGAGAATAAAGACACACACACACACACACACACAATGAACTAAGTGTTCATTAGTGTATAACTATAACAAGCTAATCAATTATTGTAAAAAAGTAGTAAGGTAAAATCACATCGTTACAGCTCATATAAAAGGAAAAATAAAAACGTGTATGAACCATCAGTTGGAGAGACCACTCATTTCAACCGGGGAAGCTACACTGGGTGCACTGCTAGGCTGGCCTGGCTGTGTAGCCAACGTGTGACGTCACATTTGTTTAATGTTGCTCTGGCCCAATGACAGTAAAGCTTTGGCCAGTGTTGTGCCAGTTCACAGCTTTTCTGAACTAGTTCAAGTTCAGTTCATACATGCTCAAAGTGAACAGTTCACGTTCGAAGTTCTCAATTTTAATTCTGAACTAGTTCAAAGTTCAGTTCATTTTACTTTTTGCGAGATATTCAAATAAATATTTTTTTTCACTACGAGCTAGAAATCACAATACGTGGTATATATATATATATATATATATATATATATATATATATATATATATATATATATATAACGCTATATATATAATTATATATTATATCCTGTACACTGCACAGGATGTTTTGACTCCAATGCAGAATGGGAACTGAGTTGTCCCATCTCTGCTCATAAGTACAAACTGTAATGCGCTGCAGAACGTGTGTCTATACTTTATGTCAAATGTAAACGGCCCTGTGTCACTGACTTACCCCTGTGTTTTCATCACGGCACATGTGAGTCCAACAACCAATGAATAGCACTAGCATATAGCGCCGCACCGCAAGTACACTGAGTCGGGGTGCGTTCACAGACGGTGGAAACCGTAGGAATTTTTAGTTTTCGGCGGAAACAGTGCGGAGAATACAGGAGGGAGGAACTTTCTCTCGTTGCGTTTCAAAAGAGAAAACAGATTTCACTCAGTTTTAAATGGAAAACAAATTGTCTGCCGTTCATGACACATAATATAAACTAATTCACGTTCAAGATCTTTATTAAAAAAATGTGTTGCGTTCAGTTCAACGTTCACGAAAAAAAATGAGCGTGTTCAATGAACGCGTTCTTTTGAACTCGTTCACGCACAACACTGGCTTTGGCCTGGGCCTTGCTCATTGGACCAGGCCACCAGGCAGGGTAGGAGTTTGCAAAGACCGTAAGGATGAAATTAAATTTAAAAAACAAAAAAAAAACAAAAAATAGACCGTGATGATAGGGCAGGCCCAGGCCACTTTGACACGCAGGCCACCGGGAGATCTCCCGATGCTCCCGATGGCCAGTCCGGGCCTGCGTCACAGTAAACTCAGATCCAATGGTTTCAATCTGCAACAGGAGTTAACCCCTCCCACCTGTTAACGGAGTCAATGGAGACAATCCAGACCTTAGTACCAAATGAAATGAGTACCATGGTGTGGTAAGACCCTCGTAGGGGGGGGGGGGGGGTCCTTACCTTCATGTGCCTCCGTCTCCTCCTGAAGCGCAGCAGCTCTTTGTGTTGGCGAGCGATGAAGTTCACGGCGGCGTATTCCAGCAGCGCCGAGAAGACGAAGAGCAAACACACGGCCATCCAGATGTCAATGGCCTTCACATAGGACACCTGCGAGAGGAGGCACAAGGTGAGGCTGCTGCTGGTCCTGCTGCTGGTCCTGCTGCTGGTCCTGCTGAGACCAGAGAGAGACAAAGAGAGAGACCAGAGACCGGAGAGAGAACAAAGAAAGACCAGAGAAAGAGAGAGACCAGGGAGAGAGGAGAGAGAGGAGAGAGAGAGAGGGACCAGCAAGTCTCTCTCTCCTCTCTCTCTGGTCTCTCTCTCTCTCTCTCTCTCTCTTTCTGGTCTTTCTTTGTTCTTCTCTCTCTGGTCTCTCTCTTTTTCTTCTCTCTCTCTCTCTCCTCTCTCCCTGGTCTCTCTCTTTTTCTTCTCTCTCTCTCCTCTCTCCCTGGTCTCTCTCTTTTTCTTCTCTCTCTCTCTCTCTCCTCTCTCCCTGGTCTCTCTCTTTTTCTTCTCTCTCTCTCTCTCTCTCTCCTCTCTCCCTGGTCTCTCTCTTTTTCTTCTCTCTCTCTCCTCTCTCCCTGGTCTCTCTCTTTTTCTTCTCTCTCTCTCCTCTCTCCCTGGTCTCTCTCTTTTTCTTCTCTCTCTCTCTCTCTTTGTTCTTCTCTCTCTCCCTTTTTCTGGTCTTTCTTTGTTCTTCTCGCTCTCTCTTTTTCTGGTCTCTCTCTCTCTCATTTAAGAATCTTTTTTATCCCCAATCTCTCCCACAATATTCCCAAGAGGAGAGAAAGCACATGACATTTAACACAAAACACATTTACAACCAACAAGGGAAAAAGAGCAAGAGAAAATAATTAATAATAACACAAAATAATAATAATGATAAATAAAATAGATTAAAAAATAATAATAATAATAACAATAAATAAATAAATACAATAAAAATAAATAAATAAACAAATACTGACTAATAATGAAATAAAATAAATGAATACATAAATAAGAAGGATGGTAGAGTATTTTTGATGATTTATGGACTGAAAACAGGACAGAACTCGACTTTAAACTTGAGTAAAACATGTTTCCGTGATTACGATAAAAGTCTGATCTCTGAGAAAGTCTTCAGCTGCTTCTGAGTCTGTTTTTATATTAGTATTTTTGTTCCAGTGAGTTTACAGAGAGGAAGAACTGGACTCTCATCGGCTTTGCTCCCAAACAGGTCTTACCAGCCTGGTGCCAGTCTACATGCAAGGTGCTTTATCCATTTTTTTCAAAGGCGTTTTTCGCAGAAACGAAACAATTTGGAACAGAACGAGGAAAAAACTGCAGCAATAAATGAGGGTTGTTTTTTTTTTTTTGATTGTTGTTTGTCATAAGATTATTTTTAAGATACTCCATAATATTATAAAAGAAAAAGACTTTAAGCTTTTTTATTTTTCCAGACTTTTCTTATTTAGATAAAATAAGTTTGTGATGCCTAGATATTCTGTCCATAAATACAGTGAACAGAACAGCCAGAACAGAGCCAGGGGTCGGAGGGGGTCCGGTTCGGGAACCACAGGATTTCATCTCTGCTGTTTGCGGACGATGTTGTCCTGTTGGCTCCAACGAACCAGGACCTGCAACATGCACTGGGACGGTTTGCAGCCGAGTGTGAAGCGGCTGGGATGAGAATCAGCACCTCCAAATCCGAGGCCATGGTGCTCGACCGGAAAAAGGTGCCTTGCCCTCTGCAGGTGGGTGGAGAGGTCCTTCCTCAAGTGGAGGAGTTCAAGTATCTCGGGGTCTTGTTCACGAGTGAGGGAAGGATGGAGCGTGAGATTGACAGGCGGATCGGTGCAGCGTGCGCAGTGATGCGGTCTCTGTATCGGACCGTTGTGGTAAAGAGGGAGCAGAGCCGAAAGGCAAAGCTCTCGATTTACCGGTCAATCTTTGTTCCCTCCCTCACCTATGGTCATGAGCTTTGGGTAATGACCGAAAGAACGAGATTGCGGATACAAGCGGTCGAAATGAGCTTCCTCCGCAGAGTGGCTGGGCGCTCCCTTAGGGATAGGGTGAGGAGCTCAGTCACACGGGAGGAGCTCGGAGTAGAACCGCTGCTTCTCCACGTCGAGAGGAACCAGTTGAGGTGGCTCGGGCATCTGTTCCGGATGCCTCCTGGACGCCTCCCTGGGGAGGTGTTCCGGGCACGCCCCACCGGGAGGAGGCCCCGCGGAAGACCCAGGACACGCTGGAGGGACTATGTCTCTCAGCTGGCCTGGGAACGCCTTGGGGTCCCCCCGGACGAGCTGGAGGAAGTGTGTGTGGATAGGGAAGTCTGGGCGTCTCTGCTTAGACTGCTGCCCCCGCGACCCGGCAACGGATAAAGCGGAAGAAAATGGATGGATGGATGGATGGATGAAGTTTGTGATGCTGTATTTTTATAAAACATTTCTCAATAATGTTTAAGAAATAATTAAATAATACTTGAAGTTTATGTTTTTAAACTAGTCTCAAGTCATTTGGGGCAAGAATTAAGTCAAGTCAAGTTGTCTATCGGCAAAATTTGTTTTTCTTATTTAAATCACTATTTTACTCATTTTTATATGTGATTTTTTGTTATTTTCATATTTTTATTGTATTTATTATTTTCATATATTATTTGTATGTATTATTTTCATATTTCTTTTTATTATTTTCGTTATATATATATTTTTAAATCATTTTCATATTTTTTTTGCAGTGTAAAGGCCTTGGTCTCTTGGTTCTTCTGTGTTTGCTGAAGCCGTTGCCGTGGTTACCCTGTGTGTCTTTGTGGGGTTAGAACATGATCCCTACTGTCCACAAACCTGCTCTGGTGTTTGCACAGGATCCAAGAAGTCTTTGTTCGACTAAAACGATATGAACCCTTCACCTTCTGCAGCTCGGGCTCTGGGGACCGAGCTCATGATGCAGAGAGTCTGGACTTTGAAACGCCTCGGACCCAAGAATGATCTGTATTTATTATTTACAACGTTTTAGACGGTTTTTGTTTACGAAAGATTATATACACTATCTATGTCAGGACTGAGACTGGACTGAGACTGGACTGAGGCTGAGGCTGAGGCTGAGGCTGAGACTGGACTGAGGCTGGACTGGACTGAGGCTGAGGCTGGACTGAGGCTGAGGCTGAGGCTGAGACTGGACTGAGACTGGACTGGACTGAGGCTGAGGCTGAGGCTGAGACTGGACTGAGGCTGGACTGGACTGAGGCTGAGGCTGGACTGAGACTGGACTGAGGCTGAGGCTGAGGCTGAGGCTGAGGCTGAGACTGGACTGAGACTGGACTGAGGCTGAGGCTGAGACTGGACTGAGACTGGACTGGACTGGACTGAGGCTGAGGCTGGACTGAGACTGGACTGAGGCAGGACTGAGGCTGAGGCTGAGACTGGACTGAGGCTGGACTGGACTGAGGCTGAGGCTGAGGCTGAGGCTGAGGCTGAGGCTGAGACTGGACTGAGACTGGACTGAGGCTGAGGCTGAGACTGGACTGAGACTGGACTGGACTGAGGCTGAGGCTGAGGCTGAGGCTGAGGCTGAGGCTGAGGCTGAGACTGAGGCTGAGACTGGACTGAGACTGGGACTGAGGCTGAGGCTGAGGCTGAGGTTGAGACTGGACTGAGACTGGACTGGACTGAGGCTGAGGCTGAGGCTGAGACTGGACTGAGACTGGACTGAGGCTGAGGCTGAGGCTGAGACTGGACTGAGACTGGACTGAGACTGGACTGAGACTGGACTGAGACTGGACTGAGGCTGAGACTGGACTCAGACTGGACTGGACTGAGGCTGAGGCTGAGGCTGAGGCTGGACTGAGACTGGACTGAGACTGGACTGGACTGAGGCTGAGGCTGAGACTGGACTGAGACTGGACTGAGGCTGAGGCTGAGGCTGAGACTGGACTGAGACTGGACTGAGGCTGAGGCTGAGGCTGGACTGAGACTGGACTGAGACTGGACTGAGATTGGACTGAGGCTGGACTGGACTGAGGCTGAGACTAAGGCTGGACTGAGACTGAGACTGGACTGAGGCTGAGACTGAGATTAAGGCAGGACTAAGACTGGACTGAGACTGGACTGAGACAGGACTGAGGCAGGGCTGAGACGAGACCGAGACAGGACTGAGACAGGACTGAGACAGGGCTGAGACGAGACCGAGACAGGACTGAGACTAGACTGAGACTGAGACCGGACTGAGACTGAGGACTGAGACAGGACTGAGACTGAGACAGGACTGAGACTGAGACTGGAGATACTGTATATATCTATATCTATCTATCGACAGAGACAAAAACAGGAAAACCAAGAATCAAGAGTTTGTTTTTAGTTTTATAGTTCATTGTTTCCATCTGTGACTTTTTATTTTCATGTGTTTGGACCAAATAATGACTGTTATTAAGTTTTAATATTATTTTTTATATATTTCTCTGAACAAAGCGAGTCCAGCGGCTGTGGTGGAAAAGCCCGGAGGCTGTGGTCTCTGTACCTTTGGTAGTGACGCCCTGGACCCGGAGCTCTGCGTGGTCATGGTGAGCACGGTGGTGATGCCGAGGCCGACCCGGGCGGGCGCGGCGTCCATGTTGATCCAGAAGGAGACCCAGGACAGGATCACGATGAGCAGAGACGGGATGTACATCTGGATCAGGTAATAACCCATCTGCCTCTCCAGGTGGAAGCGAGCCTCGATACACGTGAACTTCCCTGAGAACACACAGAGAGACAGTCAGGGTCTGAGGCTGGGGCTGGGACTGGGTCTGGGTCTGGGTCTGAGGCTGGGTCTGGGTCTGGGTCAGGGTCTGGGGCTGGGACTGGGTCTGAGACTGGGTCTGAGGCTGGGTCTGGGGCTGGGGCTGGGTCTGAGGCTGGGTCTGGGGCTGGGACTGGGGCTGGGACTGGGGCTGGGACTGGGGCTGGGACTGGGACTGGGACTGGGACTGGGACTGGGTCTGAGGCTGGGTCTGGGGCTGGGTCTGGGGCTGGGACTGGGTCTGAGGCTGGGTCTGGGACTGGGTCTGGGTCTGAGGCTGGGTCTGGGACTGGGTCTGAGGCTGGGTCTGAGGCTGGGTCTGGGGCTGGGACTGGGTCTGGGACTGGGACTGGGTCTGAGGCTGGGTCTGGGGCTGGGACTTGGGCTGGGACTGGGGCTGGGACTGAGGCTGGGTCTGAGGCTGGGTCTGGGGCTGGGTCTGGGTCTGGTTTAGGGTCTGGGGGAGTTACTGCCGTCTTCATGGTGCCCACTCTAGACTTTTTATCACACTACACACACTCTGTACGAATACACACACTCTGTACGAATACACACACTCTGTACGAATACACACACTCTGTACGAATACACACACTCTGTACGAATACACACACGTACTCTCTGTACGAATACACACACTCTGTACGAATACACACACTCTGTACGAATACACACACTCTGTACGAATACACACACTCTGTACGAATACACACACTCTGTACGAATACACACACTCTGTACGAATACACACACTCTGTACGAATACACACACTCTGTACGAATACACACACTCTGTACGAATACACACACTCTGTACGACGAATACACACACTCTGTACGAATACACACACTCTGTACGAATACACACACTCTGTACGAATACACACACTCTGTACGAATACACACACTCTGTACGAATACACACACTCTCGTACGAATACACACACTCTGTACGAATACACACACTCTGTACGAATACACACACTCTGTACGTAAATACACACACTCTGTACGAATACACACACTCTGTACGAATACACACACTCTGTACGAATACACACACTCTGTACGAATACACACACTCTGTACGAATACACACACTCTGTACGAATACACACACTCTGTACGAATACACACACTCTGTACGAATACACACACTCTGTACGAATACACACACTCTGTACGAATACACACACTCTGTACGAATACACACACTCTGTACACACATACACACACTCTGTACGAATACACACACTCTGTACGAATACACACACTCTGTACGAATACACACACTCTGTACGAATACACACACTCTGTACGAATACACACACTCTGTACGAATACACACACTCTGTACGAATACACACACTCTGTACGAATACACACACTCTGTACGAATACACACACTCTGTACGAATACACACACTCTGTACGAATACACACACTCTGTACGTATACACACACTCTGTACGAATACACACACTCTGTACGAATACACACACTCTGTACGAATACACACACTCTGTACGAATACACACACTCTGTACGAATACACACACTCTGTACGAATACACACACTCTGTACGAATACACACACTCTGTACGAATACACACACTGTACGATACACACACTCTGTACGAATACACACACTCTGTACGAATACACACACTCTGTACGAATACACACACTCTGTACGAATACACACACTCTGTACGAATACACACACTCTGTACGAATACACACACTCTGTACGAATACACACACTCTGTACGAATACACACACTCTGTACGAATACACACACTCTGTACGAATACACACACTCTGTACGAATACACACACTCTGTACGAATACACACACTCTGTACGAATACACACACTCTGTACGAATACACACACTCTGTACGAATACACACACTCTGTACGAATACACACACTCTGTACGAATACACACACTCTGTACGAATACACACACTCTGTACGAATACACACACTCTGTACGAATACACACACTCTGTACGAATACACACACTCTGTACGAATACACACACTCTGTACGAATACACACACTCTGTACGAATACACACACTCTGTACGAATACACACACTCTGTACGAATACACACACTCTGTACGTATACACACACTCTGTACGAATACACACACTCTGTACGAATACACACACTCTGTACGAATACACACACTCTGTACGAATACACACACTCTGTACGAATACACACACTCTGTACGAATACACACACTCTGTACGAATACACACACTCTGTACGAATACACACACTCTGTACGAATACACACACTCTGTACGAATACACACACTCTGTACGAATACACACACTCTGTACGAATACACACACTCTGTACGTATACACACACTCTGTACGTATACACACACTCTGTACGAATACACACACTCTGTACGTATACACACACTCTGTACGTATACACACACTCTGTACGAATACACACACTCTGTACGAATACACACACTCTGTACGTATACACACAAAGCTCCACACCCACAGACAGACCTCTCACTCCCTTCTTCTCCCTCTACATTAATCTCTTCTCTCTTCGCCCGAGTTCTTCAGAGTTCTTTGGCGAAACAGTAAAAAGTCCTCGAGTCATTTCATTTTGTCGACAAACTTTTGACTGATCCTTCGCCCGAGTCCAAAAAACAGATCTATAAATCTCACTGTTTCTCTCATTCTTCGTCTTCCTCATTCTTCCTCTTCCTCGTGGATCTCTGGTCGTCATGGTTACTATATATTCTCACATGTGACAGATTTTTGATGTTATTCTGTCTCCCGTGTTTAAAGAGTCGCCCCCTGTGGCTGTTTACACGGATTATGTCACGAAGATGAGACAGATTCTCAGGATGTGTTTTTCATATTTGCCCCGATGTCGTCTGATCGGGTTTGATCCGGTTTGATCCGGTTTGATCTGGTTTGAAGTGGTTTGAAACGGTTCAAGGACAGGGCCCTGACTTTGGGAAGGTTTGGGAAAGACGAAAAAGTGGGTGAATTATGAGACGGAGAAAGGTTGAATCAGGACTGGGAGTGGTAGTAGTAGTAGTAGTAGTAGTATTAGTAGTAGTAGTAGCAGTAGTAGCAGTAGTAGTAGCAGTAGTAGTAGCAGTAGCAGTAGTAGTAGTAGCAGTAGTAGCAGTAGCAGTAGTAGTAGCAGTAGCAGTAGTAGTAGTATTAGTAGTAGCAGTAGAAGCAGTAGTAGCAGTATTAGTAGTAGTATTAGTAGTAGCAGTAGCAGTAGTAGTAGTATTAGTATTAGTAGTAGTAGTAGCAGTAGTAGCAGTAGCAGTAGTAGTAGTATTAGTAGTAGCAGTAGCAGTAGTAGTAGTAGTATTAGTAGTAGCAGTAGCAGTAGTAGTAGTAGTAGTATTAGTATTAGTAGTAGTAGTAGCAGTAGTAGCAGTAGCAGTAGTAGTAGTATTAGTAGTAGCAGTAGCAGTAGTAGTAGTAGTATTAGTAGTAGCAGTAGCAGTAGTAGTAGTAGTAGTATTAGTAGTAGCAGTAGCAGTAGTAGTAGTATTAGTAGTAGCAGTAGCAGTAGTAGTAGTATTAGTAGTAGCAGTAGCAGTAGTTTATGTGTATAGCACATAGACTGTGTTAACAGACGTAGTCTCGCCTATCTCCGTCGTTCTAACTAATGGGCCAAACATTTTCCAGCCTCTGCGGGGGCTGGAAAATGTGAAACAACAAATCTGCGCATGCGTCAGCTCCACGAGCTCCATTCATTTGAACAAGAGACTTCTAAAGTCCATAGCGACTAAACTAGACTGGTCCAGAACACTCAGCATTGACACACATGTGGAACGGAGCTTTGGGCCAAGAAACAACTTTGTGACCATCCTGTAAAGACGTTTACGAGAGGTATGCTATATGTTAGCATTGGCTAATTCTTCTTCTGGGTCCACCCCCACAGGCCTGTGGGGGTGGTACTGCAGCATGTCAGCACCACCCCCACAGGCCTGGGGTGGTACTGCAGCATGTCAGCACCACCCCCACAGGCCTGGGGTGGTACTGCAGCATGTCAGTACCACCCCCACAGGCCTGGGGTGGTACTGCAGCATGTCAGCACCACCCCCACAGGCCCGGGGTGGTACTGCAGCATGTCAGCACCACCCCCACAGGCCTGGGGTGGTACTGCAGCATGTCAGCACCACCCCCACAGGCCCGGGGTGGTACTGCAGCATGTCAGCGCACGTCATTTTGGCCACTTTTGAGCCGGGACCCCCCCCCCCACTGGACTGAGCCCAATTCATACACAGGGAAACTCAAAGTGCTGAACAAAATATAAATAGTAAATAGTAGCAGTAGTAGAACCAGTAGAGGGCTATAGCAGGAGGCTACAGCAGGAGGATACAGCAGGAGGATACAGCAGGAGGATACAGCAGGAGGCTACAGCAGGAGGATACAGCAGGAGGATACAGCAGGAGGATACAGCAGGAGGATACAGCAGGAGGCTACAGCAGGAGGATTCAACAGGAGGATACAGCAGGAGGCTACAGCAGGAGGATTCAACAGGAGGATACAGCAGGAGGATACAGCAGGAGGATACAGCAGGAGGATTCAACAGGAGGATACAGCAGGAGGATACAGCAGGAGGATACAGCAGGAGGATACAGCAGGAGGATACAGCAGAAGGATTCAGCAGAAGGATACAGCAGGAGGATACAACAGGAGGATACAGCAGGAGGATACAGCAGGAGGATACAGCAGGAGGATACAGTAGGAGGATTCAGCAGAAGGATACAGCAGGAGGATACAGCAGGAGGATACAGCAAGAGGATGCAGCAGGAGGATAGAGCAGGAGGATACAGCAGGAGGATACAGCAGGAGGCTACAGCAGGAGGATACAGCAGGAGGATACAGCAGGAGGATACAGCAGGAGGATACAGCAGGAGGCTACAGCAGGAGGATTCAACAGGAGGATACAGCAGGAGGCTACAGCAGGAGGATTCAACAGGAGGATACAGCAGGAGGATACAGCAGGAGGATACAGCAGGAGGATTCAACAGGAGGATACAGCAGGAGGATACAGCAGGAGGATACAGCAGGAGGATACAGCAGGAGGATACAGCAGAAGGATTCAGCAGAAGGATACAGCAGGAGGATACAACAGGAGGATACAGCAGGAGGATACAGCAGGAGGATACAGCAGGAGGATACAGTAGGAGGATTCAGCAGAAGGATACAGCAGGAGGATACAGCAGGAGGATACAGCAAGAGGATGCAGCAGGAGGATAGAGCAGGAGGATACAGCAGGAGGATACAGCAGGAGGATACAGCAGGAGGATTCAGCAGGAGGATACAGCAGGAGGCTACAGCAGGAGGATACAGCAGGAGGATACAGCAGGAGGCTACAGCAGGAGGATACAGCAGGAGGATACAGCAGGAGGATACAGCAGGAGGATACAGCAGGAGAATACAGCAGGAGGATACAGCAGGAGGATACAGCAGGAGAATACAGCAGGAGGATACAGCAGGAGGATGCAGCAGGAGGATACAGCAGCAGGATACAGCAGGAGGATACAGCAGGAGGATACAGCAGGAGGATTCAGCAGGAGAATACAGCAGGAGGATACAGCAGGAGGATTCAGCAGAAGGATACAGCAGGAGGATACAGCAGGAGGATACAGCAAGAGGATGCAGCAGGAGGATAGAGCAGGAGGATACAGCAGGAGGATACAGCAGGAGGATACAGCAGGAGGATACAGCAGGAGGATTCAGCAGGAGGATACAGCAGGAGGCTACAGCAGGAGGATACAGCAGGAGGATACAGCAGGAGACTACAGCAGGAGGATACAGCAGGAGGATACAGCAGGAGGATACAGCAGGAGACTACAGCAGGAGGATACAGCAGGAGGATACAGCAGGAGAATACAGCAGGAGGATACAGCAGGAGGATGCAGCAGGAGGATACAGCAGAAGGATACAGCAGGAGGATACAGCAGGAGGATACAGCAGGAGGATTCAGCAGGAGAATACAGCAGGAGGATACAGCAGGAGGATTCAGCAGAAGGATACAGCAGGAGGATACAGCAGGAGGATACAGCAAGAGGATGCAGCAGGAGGATAGAGCAGGAGGATACAGCAGGAGGATACAGCAGGAGGATACAGCAGGAGGATACAGCAGGAGGATTCAGCAGGAGGATACAGCAGGAGGCTACAGCAGGAGGATACAGCAGGAGGATACAGCAGGAGGCTACAGCAGGAGGATACAGCAGGAGGATACAGCAGGAGGATACAGCAGGAGGATACAGCAGGAGGATACAGCAGGAGGATACAGCAGGAGGATACAGCAGGAGAATACAGCAGGAGGATACAGCAGGAGGATGCAGCAGGAGGATACAGCAGAAGGATACAGCAGGAGGATACAGCAGGAGGATACAGCAGGAGGATACAGCAGGAGGATTCAGCAGGAGGATACAGCAGGAGGATACAGCAGGAGGATACAGCAGGAGGATACAGCAGGAGGATACAGCAGGAGGATACAGCAGGAGGATACAGCAGGAGGATACAGCAGGAGGATTCAACAGGAGGATACAGCAGGAGGATACAGAAGGAGGATACAGCAGGAGGATACAGCAGGAGGATACAGCAGGAGGATACAGCAGGAGGATACAGCAGGAGGATTCAGCAGGAGGATACAGCAGGAGGATACAGAAGGAGGATACAGCAAGAGGATACAGCAGGAGGATACAGCAGGAGGATACAGCAGGAGGATACATCAGGAGGATACAGCAGGAGGATGCAGCAGGAGGATACAGCAGGAGGATACAGCAGGAGGATTCAACAGGAGGATACAGCAGGAGGATACAGAAGGAGGATACAGCAGGAGGATACAGCAGGAGGATACAGCAGGAGGATACAGCAGGAGGATACAGCAGGAGGATTCAGCAGGAGGATACAGCAGGAGGATACAGAAGGAGGATACAGCAAGAGGATACAGCAGGAGGATACAGCAGGAGGATACAGCAGGAGGATACATCAGGAGGATACAGCAGGAGGATGCAGCAGGAGGATACAGCAGGAGGATACAGCAGGAGGATACAGCAGGAGGATACAGCAGGAGTCAGTAACAAAGCCGCCGCTGTCAGAGAATAGTATACAGCAGGATACAGCAGGAGGATACAGAAGGAGGATACAGCAAGAGGATACAGCAGGAGTCAGTAACAAAGCCGCCGCTGTCAGAGAATAGTATTAAATATTTAGAGCAGACGTGGCTCTGACAGCTCGTACTGGTCTCTCTCCACAGAGACACTGGAGCATTCAGGATCCACTGCTTTCATTTGTGCCAAAATGTCTGCTGCAGAATTCAGTGGGAGCAGCTGCAGATTAGTAATGAACAAAACTCTGGATCTAACGTCTGTGTCACAAGAGAAAAGGTTTGATGTCTGAATAGGAGACGCAGCAGGAGGCTGACGAGGAGAGAGAGGAGGAAGACGAGGAGAGAGGAGGAAGACGAGGAGAGAGGAGGAATGAGGAGAGAGAGAGAGGAGAGTGAGGAGAGAGGAGAGAGAGCAAGGAGAGAGAGAGAGAGACAAAAGAAGAGAGGAGAGTGAGGAGAGAGAGAGAGAGAGGAGAGAGAGGAGAGAGAGGAGAGAGAGAGAGGGGAGAGAGGAGAGAGAGAGAGAGAGAGAGAAGAGAGGAGAGAGAGGGAGAGAGAGAGAGAGAGAGAGAGGAGAGAGGAGAAGAGAGGAGGGGAGAGAGGAGAAAGGAGAGGAGGGGAGGGGAGTGAGACAAAAGAGGAGAGAGGAGAGAGGAGAGGAGGGGAGAGAGGAGAGAGACAAAAGAGGAGAGAGGAGAGAGGAGAGGAGGGGAGAGAGGAGAGAGACAAAAGAGAGAGGAGAGGAGAGAGAGGAGACCGATGAGAGAGAGATATTCTCCATTAGGGATCAACAAAGTATCTGTCTATGAACTGTTCTATACAAATTGCTTCCAAATGGACCTGCGCTAACGTTAGCTAGCGCTCCCCGTGCGTGGACTACATCCGTCCTGCATTAGCCTTATTAGCTTTAGCGCGGACAAGAGCAAAACCAAACAAAAGGCTGTATCGAAATGGCCAGAGCGGGCGGTAATGGGATTAACTTCCACCGCGAGTAACAAACGTCCTGTCCGCGGCCCGTAATGTAATGAGCCAAAACAAGATGGCCGCCAGTCTATTTCATCCGAACCGATCGATGAGAGAGACGCAGAGACGGAGCAGAGGAAGAGGAAGAGAGTGGGACCAAGGACAGAGGTGATGATCCAGGACCCAACATTCATCCACATTTACAGACTTCTGTCGTCGGAACAACGGCTCTATGTGTTTTATTTATCGTCACGTTTCCGGTGTTTTGATTCTCTGATCTGTGTCGACGAATCGGCAACTTTGTAAAGTCCTCAGACACTGCACAAAATGATCATATATGAGGTAAGAAATGTTCTAATCAAGAGGTTTTAATCTTAATCTGACACTTTCTGTTAAAACCAGATTCTCCAATGGTAGAAGTAGTAGTAGTAGTAACAGTAGTAGTAGTAGTTGAAGCAGTAGTAGTAGTAACAGTAGCAGTAGTAGTTGAAGCAGTAGTAGTAGTAACAGTAGCAGTAGTAGTAGTTGAAGTAGTAGTAGTAGTAACAGTAGCAGTAGTAGTAGTTGAAGTAGTAGTAGTAGTAATAGTAGGGATGAAGTAGGAGATTTCATTTGTTTTACAGAGAGCTGTCACTTTCAAACCAAGTTAATCTCGTTCCTCGCTCTTCGTGTTTGTAATTCGTCCTAAATCACGACAGTAGTTTTCTCTGAGGACTTTACAAAATTGTCGCTTTGCAGCAACAGATCAGAAAAACAGCTCTCTTTACGACTGTGTATGAACTGTGCTGTTTCTAGGGCGTTGCTAGGCCGTTGCTAGGGCGTTGCTAGGGCGTTGCTAGGGCGTTGCTAGGCCGTTGCTAGGCCGTTGCTACCTACATCCTCTCCCTCCATTCATCTTTTCAATTACAATGGTTATCTGTGAATTCCTTTGACTTGCTCCTGACAAATCCTAACACCTGTTGCTGGACAAACACACAGGCGCTGAGGCTTGTGCTGTCAGAGGAGAAGCGCTCATAAGGAGAGTTTATAGCATTGTCCGGGGCTCTGAGGCTGTGATGGATCGACCTGAGCCAGAGCCAGATGAGAGCGGATTTATACAAACACGACCGAACAAAGCACCTGCAATGCACCACACACACTGCAATTAGTATTTCAAACATGCGCTTTTTACTGTGCACTGTGTATGTGTGTGAGAGGGAGAGGGGGAGAGAGGGGGGGGAGAGAGAGAGAGAGAGAGGGAGAGAGGGAGAGAGAGAGAGAGGTGAGATGAATACAGAGCAGCCAGTGGACCATAAATCCAAAGCAAATAGCACCTTCATTCAGAATTACTGCTGAAGTGGGACCCTCAAAGACCACAATTGAGTGAGAGAGCGAGGGAGCAGGAAGGAGATAGAGAGAGGGAGGGGTGGAGAGAGGGAGAGAGAGAGAGAGGGGGAGAGAGATGGAGAAAGAGAGATAAAGAGATGGAGAGAGAGAGGAGAGGAGAGAGAGAGAGACAGAGAAAGAGAGAGAGAGCTGGAGGGGTTGAAAGAGCAGGACTTCCACCATGTCATGAAATCTTTACTGTATTGACATTGTTCTTTCGACTGAAGAAAGAAATTCTGTTGAAAATCGTGAGAAAATGTGAGAATTCCTCAAACTGTAACTGGCCTCAGGTCTGTCCTCGTTCTACAGTCTGAGTCCTGAGCCCATGGCCTTGGTCCTCGTTCTACAGTCTGAGTCCTGAGCCCATGGCCTTGGTCCTTGTTCTACAGTCTGAGTCCTGAGCCCATGGCCTTGGTCCTCGTTCTACAGTCTGAGTCCTGAGCCCATGGCCTTGGTCCTTGTTCTACAGTCTGAGTCCTGAGCCCATGGCCTTGGTCCTCGTTCTACAGTCTGAGTCCTGAGCCCATGGCCTTGGTCCTTGTTCTACAGTCTGAGTCCTGAGCCCATGGCCTTGGTCCTCGTTCTACAGTCTGAGTCCTGAGCCCATGGCCTTGGTCCTTGTTCTACAGTCTGAGTCCTGAGCCCATGGCCTTGGTCCTCGTTCTACAGTCTGAGTCCTCCTTGACCTTCTGGGGACGTCTCATGTGGCGTGTTTAAGTGGCTGTGGTGCGTCCATGGTGCAGCTCAGAGCGTGGTGCGTTCAGGATCTGGTTCAGAGCGTGGTGCGTTCAGGGTCTGGTTCAGAGCGTGGTGCGTTCAGGGTCCGGCTCAGAGCGTGGTGCGTTCAGGGTCTGGCTCAGAGCGTGGTGCGTTCAGGGTCCGGCTCAGAGCGTGGTGCGTTCAGGGTCCGGCTCAGAGCGTGGTGCGTTCAGGGTCCGGCTCAGAGCGTGGTGCGTTCAGGGTCCGGCTCAGAGCGTGGTGCGTTCAGGGTCCGGTTCAGAGCGTGGTGCGTTCAGGGTCCGGCTCAGAGCGTGGTGCGTTCAGGGTCCGGCTCAGAGCGTGGTGCGTTCAGGGTCCGGCTCAGAGCGTGGTGCGTTCAGGGTCCGGCTCAGAGCGTGGTGCGTTCAGGGTCCGGCTCAGAGCGTGGTGCGTTCAGGGTCCGGCTCAGAGCGTGGTGCGTTCAGGGTCTGGCTCAAAGCGTGGTGCGTTCATGGTCTGGCTCAAAGCGTGGTGCGTTCAGGGTCCGGCTCAGAGCGTGGTGCGTTCAGGGTCCGGCTCAGAGCGTGGTGCGTTCAGGGTCCGGCTCAGAGCGTGGTGCGTTCAGGGTCTGGTTCAGAGCGTGGTGCGTTCAGGGTCTGGTTCAGAGCGTGGTGCGTTCAGGGTCTGGTTCAGAGCGTGGTGCGTTCAGGGTCTGATTCAGAGCGTGGTGTGTTCATGGTCCGGCTCAGAGCGTGGTGCGTTCAGGGTCCGGCTCAGAGCGTGGTGCGTTCAGGGTCCGGCTCAGAGCGTGGTGCGTTCAGGGTCCGGCTCAGAGCGTGGTGCGTTCAGGGTCCGGCTCAGAGCGTGGTGTGTTCAGGGTCTGGTTCAGAGCGTGGTGTGTTCATGGTCCGGCTCAGAGCGTGGTGCGTTCAGGGTCCGGCTCAGAGCGTGGTGCGTTCAGGGTCCGGCTCAGAGCGTGGTGCGTTCAGGGTCCGGCTCAGAGCGTGGTGTGTTCAGGGTCTGGTTCAGAGCGTGGTGTGTTCATGGTCCGGCTCAGAGCGTGGTGCGTTCAGGGTCCGGCTCAGAGCGTGGTGCGTTCAGGGTCCGGCTCAGAGCGTGGTGTGTTCATGGTCCGGCTCAGAGCGTGGTGCGTTCAGGGTCTGGTTCAGAGCGTGGTGCGTTCAGGGTCCGGCTCAGAACAGTGTGAAGGCCACTCAGAAGGAGCTCGTTTGTTTTTCTATTTGACAGTGACAGTGAACGTCACTTTGAGTGATGGTCTCAGTCCAAACCAATTAGACTCCGGCTCGTAAACACACCAACACCACAGGACAAGACAGGAGAGACGGGGGAGGAGAGGGGGAGGAGAGGGGGGAGGAGAGGGGGGAGGAGAGGGGGAGGAGAGGGGGGAGGAGAGGGGGGAGAGAGGGGGGAGAGAGGGGGGAGGAGAGGGGGAGGAGAGGGGGGAGGAGAGGGGGGAGGAGGAGAGGGGGAGGAGAGGGGGGAGAGGGGGGAGGAGGGGGGGAGGAGAGGGGGGAGGAGAGGGGGGAGAGGAGGGGTG